ATTCACTTTATGCACACGTTGAAAAGATAATATTGACGGACCTAATATATTTTTTGGTCGTCTATTACATTATTATTAAAAATATTTGGGAAAATTCCTAAAAATTAATCCAACTTAATTTTATTTGTTGAAAAAATACTCAAACTTCTTTGGCTACCCGAGAAATACACCAACTATTTAACATTGTTTTTTATATACTCGAACTTTTAAAATGTGTCGGTTTTACTACATTGACATTAACGGTGTCAATCCGACTAACGGAAGTTACTAAACGCTGTTACATTTTAATTAACACGTGTCTGCTACAGTATTTCTAGTTCTTCTCCAAATCGATTTTGGGATTTAAGAACCCTAAAATCCTAAATTGATTTTAGATTTTAGATTTTCTTTTTGATATTTAACATCTCATACATCCAAACGCACCTGACATGGCAAAGGTCGGATGACAAAGATGATCGATAAGAACATCTCATACATCCAACATCATACTCATATCATCAATATATATCACATATCTGCTTCTCTTCCCTCTTTTCTTCCTTCACTCTCTCATCCCCATGGATTAAGATAGCTCGATAGAGAATTTACGAAACCCAGCGCGTATCAAAGATCCAATCCGACGAACATCAAGGACGATTTCATGATCCAATCTCAGATCTGGAAAATCCAAAATTAATAAATAAATTAATCACCATGTTTGCCTTAACCTTCGTCATCTCTTTGACTTCGATCCATCTTCAATGAGAGCTTGAATCGATGTTAAACACCGAAAAGAAAATCTGAAATCCAAAATCAATTTGGGGTTTTAGGGTTCTTAAATCCCAAAATCGATTTGGAGAAGAACAAAAAGTACTGTAGCTAGGGGTGTCAAAATGGACCAATACCTATGGGTTACCCAAACCCGCCCATAATTTTAGCGGATAAGGGTTGGATTTTTTATCCATATAAATAAATGGGTTTTTGTGGGTTATCCTATTAGGGTTATGAGTTTAATGGGTAAATCCATTAGGGTTGTGGGTAACCCACGTGTTTATCATAAAAAAACTAATATATATTAGAGTACTTTAAAAGATTAGAGTTTCCTAAACATGTTCAAAGCTTTATTTGGTACAAATACCGGAGTCATCTACATGTCCAAGCTTTACTTTCTACAAGATATTGGTTATTTGGTTTTACAACTGATGAAAAAGATAAATTTATCATATATATTTATTGATTTTAATACTAGCTATTTTTATTGTTATTCCAATTGATGATATACTTAATTTTCTTCTTATTTGTAGACAATGAAACTGAAGATGATGACGAGGAACCAGATGCATCCGAGGAAGCTTATGAACCCAACGAAGATTCAAGTGTTTTTTTAAATTAATCTTGGTTTTATGGTTCTATTGATTTTATTGATTTTACGGTTGTATGGTTTCATCGAAAATATTTTAATTTAGTTTGTTACTTGTAAGTTGAAAACTTTTGTTGGATTCATTTACAA